TTAGGAGATACTTTGTCTGACATTGTAAGGAGACACTTTGTCTGACATTGTTAGGAGATACGTTGTCTGACATTGTTAGGAGATACTTTGTCTGACATTGTTAGGAGATACTCTGTCTGACATTGTTAGGTGATACGTTGTCTGGCATTGTTAGGAGATACGTTGTCTGACATTGTTAGGAGATACTTGTCAGACATTGTAAGGAGACACTTTGTCTGACATTGTTAGGAGATACTTGTCTGACATTGTTATGAGATACTGTGTCTGACATTGTTAGGAGATACATGTCAGACATTGTTAGGAGACACTTTGTCTGACATTGTTAGGAGATACGTTGCCTGACATTGTTAGGAGATACCATACTTTGTCAGACATTGGTAGGACATTGTTAGGAGATACCATACTTTGTCAGACATTGGTAGGACATTGTTATGAGATACTGTGTCTGACATTGTTAGGAGATACTTTGTCTGACATTGTTAGGAGAGACTTTGTCTGACATTGTTAGGAGATACTTCGTCTGACATTGTTAGGAGATACTGTGTCTGACATTGTAAGGAGACACTTTGTCTGACATTGTTAGGAGATACGTTGTCTGACATTGTTAGGAGACACATTGTCTGACATTGTTAGGAGATACCTGTCTGACATTGTTAGGAGATACTTTGTCTGACATTGTTAGGAGAGACTTTGTCTGACATTATTAGGAGATACTTCGTCTGACATTGTTAGGAGAAACTTGTCAGACATTGTTAGGAGACACTTTGTCTGACATTGTTAGGAGATACGTGTCTGACATTGTTAGGAGATACTTTGTCTGACATTGTTAGGAGAGACTTTGTCTGACATTATTAGGAGATACTTCGTCTGACATTGTTAGGAGAAACTTGTCAGACATTGTTAGGAGACACTTTGTCTGACATTGTAAGGGTTCATTATATCAAGGTTTTTTAGGAGATACTCTGTGAAACATTTTATATAGAAACTTTCCAATTGTTACACAAAATAATGTTCTAACTGTATTGGATATGAAATCAATTCTCTTTACTTAGAGAGTTCTGAGTGTCTGTTCAGGATAAGTTTTTCTATCAATACTTAATAACACTTTTACCAGTATAACATCAGGGATTATTCCTTAGAAAATTGAATTTTATTTTGTCACTGCAGTGAGAAATATCAAAATGATACTTTTCACTTGTGAAAAAAGGCTTTCTCAGATTAAGCCAATGAAAATACAGTGAATGTAATACCCAGCTAGAAATCTTATTTTAAATTTTAATGTCCTAAAATGTATATAATTGTTTCCTGTTTGACTTTTATTTATATTTCACTCAATATTTTCACTTGTGTTGGCACACTCATAAAAATGTTGAAGTATTCTTCCACTCTGGTGATATATATATGGATGCTATCGAATGAGAAATAAGAACAAATTATCCATTATGTTCTATTATACCCAGATTTGATACTTTTATATAAATCTATGACATCATTAACATGAACATCTGTGTTTTGTCATTTTAGTTTGGAGGATTTTTCTCCCCACCAAGACCAGGCTTACCCGCACCATCAGAGAGGATTGACAGTGGTATGTGTTTGTATAGTAATGATCAATTTGAGGCCATATATGACTGAAATGTATTCAACGTGTCATATATTTGTGATGCTTTCATATCTACCTATAAAGACGACCAAAGAGCACAGTATTACAACATGTACATAGCTAATCTCTTATCTATATTTAGCCTGTGTATCTTTTCACAAATTTTACTAATTTCTAATAAAGGAACCTTCTAAATATTAGTGAATTTATTTCAGTAAACATAGTGATACTGCCTTTAAAAACTTTGAAAGTTAAATCCAGCATTACAAAATGCCTAATGGAAACCTGTATTCAGACTGTATAATAAAATTAAGGTCAAATTACTACTGTAATACATGTACATCTGTAACGGCAGTTTTTACATAAAGATGTTTTACCCTGCTGTATAATCTGGTACAAAGACAGATTGAATGACATTAAAGAAATTGTCATGTAAAGGTTATAATACTATGAGGGGAAAACAAAAAAGTTTTATAAAGATGGGTGATTGTACAAATAATAGTATTATGTAGTAAGATGACACCTGTGGAAAATCTGAAAAGTGGTCTCATAACACAGGAGGTATCATCATACAGGGTCATTTCTCAATGGGATCATTACAATCGGGAACTTAAAAAGTGGTCTCATATCACAGGAAATATCATTTTACAATCGGGAACTTTAAAAGGGGCCTTTTAACACAGGTGGTCTCTTAATAGAGGCGGTGGCAGGAGCAGGTTTGACTGTATATAACAACCACATAAAGAGGAATGATCAAACTTAGTGTAATAACCTGGTGATCTTTGTTCATTATATCAAGGTTTTACTGTATATAACAACCATATAAAGAGGAATGATCATACTTGGTGTAATAACCTGGTGATCTTTGTACATTATATCAAGGTTTTACTTTATATAACAACCATATAAAGAGGAATGATCAAACTTGGTGGAATAACCTGGTGATCTTTGTACATTATATCAAGGTTTTACTTTATATAACAACCATATAAAGAGGAATGATCAAACTTGGTGGAATAACCTGGTGATCTTTGTACATTATATCAAGGTTTTACTGCATATAACAACCATATAAAGAGGAATGATCAAACTTGGTGGAATAACCTGGTGATCTTTGTACATTATATCAAGGTTTTACTGCATATAACAACCATATAAAGAGGAATGATCAAACTTGGTGGAATAACCTGGTGATCTTTGTACATTATATCAAGGTTTTACTGTACATGTATGTTGCCTTACAATGACGGAACTTTAAAAGGGGCCTTTTAACACAGGTGGTCTCTTAATAGAGGCAGTGGCAGGAGCAGGTTTGACCATATAAAGAGGAATGATCAAACTTAGTGTAATAACCTGGTGATCTTTGTACATTATATCAAGGTTTTACTTTATATAACAACCATATAAAGAGGAATGATCAAACTTGGTGGAATAACCTGGTGATCTTTGTACATTATATCAAGGTTTTACTGTATATAACAACCATATAAAGAGGAATGATCAACCTTGGTGTAATAACCTGGTGATCTTTGTACATTATATCAAGGTTTTACTGTATATATATATAACAACCATATAAAGAGGAATGATCAAACTTGGTGTAATAACCTTGTGATCTTTGTACATTATATCAAGGTTTTACTGTACATGTATGTTGCCTTACAATGACGGAACTTTAAAAGGGGCCTTTTAACACAGGTGGTCTCTTAATAGAGGCGGTGGCGGGAGCAGGTTTGACTGTATATAACAACCACATAAAGAGGAATGATCAAACTTAGTGTAATAACCTGGTGATCTTTGTTCATTATATCAAGGTTTTACTGTATATAACAACCATATAAAGAGGAATGATCATACTTGGTGTAATAACCTGGTGATCTTTGTACATTATATCAAGGTTTTACTGTATATATATATAACAACCATATAAAGAGGAATGATCAAACTTGGTGTAATAACCTTGTGATCTTTGTACATTATATCAAGGTTTTACTGTACATGTATGTTGCCTTACAATGACGGAACTTTAAAAGGGGCCTTTTAACACAGGTGGTCTCTTAATAGAGGCAGTGGCAGGAGCAGGTTTGACCATATAAAGAGGAATGATCAAACTTAGTGTAATAACCTGGTGATCTTTGTACATTATATCAAGGTTTTACTGTACATGTATGTTGCCTTACAATGACGTGGAATGTCCTATTTGATCCAGATAACCCCCAGACTGGTCAACATGATAACTCCTGGATGCCACATATGAGGTCCTTTACCAGTGGTAGAAGTGTTTCTGTAAGCACCTCTATTGGACCTAATGGGGTAAGCCAAATATAACAACTCCCTTAAGTTTCGAAATATAATCTCTGATACAAAGCTGTGTTAACAGTTTACATATTATGTATCAACAGTGACACAGGATGTTGCTATTATGAAAATCATTGATACTTTTTAACTGCAAACAAAAATTAATAACAACTCAACTTTCATACTTTCCACAGCAGGTTGAGGAGCGGAGAACTGTACGAGACTCGGAGGGCGGTGAGGAGGTGACGATAACACGGAAACAAGGCAGCCAGGCACACTCCGTCATTACAAAGACAGACAAAAGTGGCGTACAGGAGAAAATAGAAAACTTTACCAATATGAATGAAAGTAAGCTTATCCATTAAATACTATCTTGAAAAGGAAAAGTTGTAATTTGTAATTTAAAATTTGATTTCTCAGTCTTTTGTTTTTGAATGTGGTAAATTTTGTCTTGATTTTTATACGTCCTCTCTGAGAGTATGTAATGTGGTATGGTACTGTCTGTCTGGCAGGCAGGCAGGCTGGCAAATCTCTAGTTCAGCTATGAGCCAAATTTCCAAATATATGTTAAAAATGAAACAGCTCACCTTGTTGAAAGAGGTTAATTCAAGTATTGTTTGTGTTGGAAAGCATGCATTCTGGCAATTATTTTATATATATACCTACTTTGTTTTTTCAGATGATATATCCGATTTCAACAACAGATGGAATAACAAAAATGAACAGAGGGATTTTTCGGCTCCTTCAGAACCCAATTCTTTGCTGAAGAGTTCAGCACAGCCTTGTCTACCACAGTTATGTCCACCTGAGCCACACGATAGTGATAAGGATACGGTGTTGACCTCCAGGTTAAAACGTCTGTTTGAATGGATGAAACCTAAGGTCGACTGACAAGACATCATTGTGTACTGTGTATGCTCACCCAGAGATTGATTTTAACTTTAAAATCCCATGTCAAATCCATGTGCGCATATAACAACACTGAATAAAAAGCCAGGGATTGACTCAGACATTGTGTACTACAGAGTCAAATCCAGAAAGTGATTTTAACTTTATAATCCTGTGTCTACCTGGTGTCGATGAGTGCATATGACAACACTGAATAAAAAGCCAGGGATTGACTCAGACATTGTACATTACAGAGTCAATTCCAGGATGTGATTTTGACATTGCATGCTGCATGTCAATGTGAGTTTTGTCTGTGATTGATCCACCATTTTAATGATGATCCTTTTAAAATAGAAATTATATAAGTCTGCAAGAGTGGACAAGTGTGCAGTTAATATCATTTTTTTGTGAGGATCAAACAATTATTTTAATTTAAAACAATGTACAGATATCCTGTGATGAGTATGAACATGTTACATAAGTTTTCCAGCATTGTAAATATATCAATAGGGGCTACATTTACATGTAAATACAGACACAGCCTATGTTTTACTAAAAACAGGATCTTCAGGACTGTTATAGGTGTTGGTAGTATAATAATTAATTCACTAATACAGCCTGGAGATACTCAGTGATTGTGTCTGCATGTAAATATGTTTTCCCTAAGAAAAATACACCAAACATTCTACTCTGCATTTTAAAGATAGAGAAAATCTATTGAACACGTACATGTAGGGTATCGTTATAGTCGGTCAAGATTTTGTCCAACCAAAAGTTCCAGTGTCAGCTTGAAACCACCTATTGGTTAACTAGTTATCACTATCATGTTTGTTTCGTTTGTTATTGAATATAATTTGTTTCATTGGAGAGATATTGTATGTACCAATGAAAACATGCATTAAATGATATGTTGATGCAGTATATTATCATTTCCTGTTATTTGTTGAGGTTTTACCATGGCAACTGAAGACAAGTGGGACAAAGGTCACTGAGTATGAACTAATTTACAACATTATCACAACACTGTAACAATTTGTGCTGACACAGTACTCCAGTGAACACACTGTAGCATGTAACCTTCCTGACACAGTACTCTAGTAAACACTAGCATGTACCCTTCCTGACACAGTACTCCAGTAAACACTAGCATGTAACCTTCCTGACACAGTACTCCAGTAAACACAAGCATGTAATCTTCCTGACACAGTACTCTAGTAAACACTAGCATGTAACCTTCCTGACACAGTACTCCAGTAAACACACGCATGTAACCTTCCTGCCACAGAACTCCAGTAAACACAAGCATGTAACCTTCCTGACATAGTACTCCAGTAAACACTAGAATGTAACCTTCCTGACACAGTTCTCCAGTGAACACACTGTAGCATGTGACCTTCCTGACAAAGCTCTGACTACACTGTATAGTGAAGCTGATCTACGATAACTGAGTTAACCTTCCTGACACAGTATTCCAGTAAACACTAGCATGGAACCTTCCTGACACAGTACTCCAGTAAAAACTAGCAAGTAACCTTCCTGACACAGTACTCCAGTGAACACACTGTAGCATGTGACCTTCCTGACAAAGCTCTGACTACACTGTATAGTGAAGCTGATCTACGATAACTGAGTCGGCAAATATTCTACGGAAACATCAGGACTACGTTATGATATTTAACCTGTAACTTGCTGAGAAAATGCCTAACATCATATTTGTGCAAATGAATGACCTTGACTTTCTTTCAAGGTCACACGAGTAGAATATTACATGTTGTATCACAGGAAAGGAGGAATGACCATGCAAAGATTTTATCAAGCACAACTTTGAAGCTAGTTACATGTATGTTAACCAAATTTGCTAAAGTTTTATTTCTTTGGCATTGTCTCTTACTAAAGTCAAGTAATGTGCCATACTATATACATTTATGAGTTATAAACAGTTATGTCCCTTTGATCATTTTTGCATCGTCTGTGAAGAAAGGGCATCAAATACATATTAGGTAACTTTCTATAGTTGGCAGTGTTGGTGTAATCTGTACAAAGGTTCCATTCATAGGGCCACAAATAGCCTTCTTGGATTTTGACACCTAGAGTTCCTTATCTGGAATGCTTTGTTTTTTAAGAAGCTTGCTACACATGCTAACAATATCAATAACCCACTCTCATTAGATTATGAGCAAGATTCAAATCTTGATATGGCAGCTGTAGGCATGATTCTTGATTTTGTCCCTCAAGTGTCTGCAAAAAGGTTTTCTTGGAATAGCTCAAAGAATGCTTTGATCTTCATATAAAAATACCTACAAATATAAAAAAAATAATAATTACAAGCTTAAATTTGATTCAGACTCTGATCTGAAATTAGATATGACCACCAGTGATCATCTTGAATTTGGCACATTTGGTGATTTCTGATTATATGTAACTCTGAAAGGAAACTTCTAATTAATGAAACTTCCTTAATATGGATTCCCCATTCAAGGTTGATGTTATTTTGATCCATCATTCAATACAGCTGCCAGACTTTGCATGTTGGATATTGTGCAGACAATTTATTTTTAGAATTGTCTAATTTTGATAAAACTTGAGTGTTTTTTGTTTGTTTTTTGTGGTTTTTTTTTTATATATATCAAAGTTTGTCAAAAGCTTACCAGGTTATCACTTTGCCATTTCACCTACTTTTCCATTCATTTTTCAGTCAATCTGCCTATCTTTCATCTTGTTACATAATTGTTGAACATTACATAATGAAAAGGCATATAATTTTCACTACTTCAGTAAATAATGTCCCAGAGAGCTTGACATGCACAAAACCAATTATAAAACCATTATTGGTTATTTATAAGGGTAGGACTGATAGAATATATTACAAATAAATATTCTGGTCATGTGAATTAACAATTTTACAGGTGAAAAAAAAATCTTATAAAATCTGTATCAATATTTATTTCATGGAATTAATAAGAGAATGTAGACATAAAATAGATCTTTGAGTATTAATAACTATTATAAATGCACATCATTTTTGTGAGACGTACCGATTAAAGAAATGTGTGTCTCAATCTAAAGATAATTAAATCAGGCAAAGTATCGCAGACAATTAATTTATAGTCCCCACACCTCAAAAGAAAATTTGTGAATATGTCTTTATATCAAGGAAGCACAAGGTCCAATTTCAGTGTGTGACATCACATCATCCGGAGCAATACTTGCGTATAAACTTTGGTAACTTAGATAATGCCATATACAATGTGATTCAGTCAACAAAGGGACATAACTCTATAATAATGAGGCACAAGACCTGAATTCAGGTTGCTACACTCATCCTAAGAGGTAGTCTCATGCAAAGTTTCTTAGCAAGTAAGGGTGACATAGTTATGAAATTAACCTTAGACAAAGTGATTCATGGTGAACAAAGGGACATAACTCTGTATAATGAGGCATGAGATCTCATTTCAGGCTGCTCTGGCATCTTCAGTGGTACCATGCAAATTTGGCCATGTTTGGGGTAAGTTTTTGAGAAATGCCTTGAACAGCTGTCTGACTGACGGATGAAGTTTAAGTCAGTCGTTATCTCTGGTAGTCGTACTACTGATGGGGAACACAATACCAGTGATTCTGGTGAACAGATATATACATATGTTGGCAGAATGAGAGAATCTCTGTATCACAATGATCACATTTATTTCATGTTAATTTGTTGGGAGATTTGGCTGCAAGATCATTGTTTAGATAAATATTATTTGTTTTATTATTTGACTAACTTTGCCTGGACAGAACATAATTATTCTGTCTTGATTGAGCATTGAAGTCATGCATATTCATTTAATAAATGGAACAAATTTATTTCAATCTTATTGTAATTAGACCATGGAATTGATAAATATAATTATATTAAAAATTCAAAGTCTGCAGTTATTTAAAATTGCCAAAGTGTTTTGACATTTAACAGGGGAATTTTATTCTCCACAGTGACCACACTTCACACAATTTATGCAAAGGTGGACAATAACTACTTACGGGAAATCACAGTTGTATTGCCAATCCATCAAAGTCGATCACATTACTATAAGACCTATAACACTGCATGCACAAAAATTACCTCAGACACAATATTGTTAATTAAGAGTTTCATATGCAATCATGAAATTAGATTAGATTGCTATCTAAGTCTGTGATGTAATCTCTCATAGGTATCTCATAGGTAAGACATCAATGGAAAGCCTGTGGCTTGTAGTGATGTTATTAATCTGCATTTCGTTAATTGATTGGTTGATGATAGAGTGCGCGAAGAATGGCATACATTAAGTTAAGTTAAGTTAAGTTAAGTTTATTTCCGGTTCAGGACTAGTGAAAGTCCTCTATACCAGACTCTTATATTACACAATACATAAATATATATATTTCTATTCGGTACACGTTAATGTCTATGGTTTGATTAATGATTTGTAGTTAAAGAAAAGTTCTTGATGTTTCCAGTGGGTATCTAGCCTGTTTTTAAATACATTTACATTTGGTGCGGAGACAACATTTTCAGGCAGATTGTTCCATATTGTCACTGTTCTTATTGAAAAAAAGTTTTTCCTAAGCATCATTGTTGCACGCTTAGGGTATACTTTTTTGCTATGTCCTCTGTTGCTGTGANATTAAATGTATCTAGAAGTCTAGTGAAGTCTAATTGTCGCAATAGTATTAATTAATATTTACACATCATAGATTAAAAGGACGGATACAATTTGTGTGCATGCAGCTACTGATCTTTCCAGTGCACATTTAACCTATTTTTGAAAATATTCAAACTTTTGGCATTAACCACTTCAGCTGATAAATTGTTCAAAATTTTGACTACGCGATTGCTGAAAATGTTCTTGGTGGTGTTTAAGCGGCATTGTTTCTTAAAGAGCTTTAGCTGGTGACCTCTAGTTGCCGGACAGGTGAATTCAGTAAATAATTTAATGAAATCAATGAAAATGCTGTGAGTGTGGACTTCAAATTAATGTCTGTTACAATGTAAGGTATTAACACGGACTTAGATAACAGATAATCTAAATTCCGTGGTATTAATTAACACTTATTGATTACTTAAAAATAATAAATAAATAAAAAAAAAAAATGTCCCCGTCAAGATTCGAACCCCTCTCGCAGGGAGAATAATTTAATCAAAGTTCAACACACGTTTGGATTTTGCTGCTATTTTAAAGCGTCTCATTGACACGTCTCCATGTGTTGACGGAGTTGGCGACGGCGAGATCGATTTTGATGTTATTCCGTTCTGATTAAAACGGAATATTTATTAACATGATGGAAGAGCACGAAGACGATGCAGGCAAAGAGGAAGAGAAGAGATCGCTGGACAATGCACTTAAGGCGAGCATTGACTTGGTGGCTCTCAATAACAAGGTAAGTGCCTACTACCTTCACAAAACTCGGCTAGCCAATCCTAAAAACGTTCAATTATAATTTATACTTTTATACTGCCTGTCATATGTTGAGCAACACGGACTGAACAATGAGCTAACCTGTTTTTTCGTCTGTTAGAATACCAATCAATGAATACTATTAAAAGAGAATATGGGTAACTGGTAGGCATATTGAAAGAATATTTTTAGGCTCAACTGTGACATGGCATAGGTTTATGTTATAAGACACTGCATTATTTATGAACATTGCCGAAAGCCTTGAGCATGTTTGAAAAGTCCATCGGTACACATATATAATATTTAATAATGTGTCACACAATCATACTAACAGGTGCTGGCATGGGCACGAATGCAAATAGTTGTGAATGGTCAGACAATCATGATGATGCAGCTGACAATGGTCAGATGAACAATATAGTCTGAAGCTTCTTAATGCATTTTTCTTATAAAAATGGAAAAGAGGCCTCCTTGTGAGGTAATATGTTGTAATAATTAGCGGGGTGAATCTAGAACCCTCGCATTCAATAATGAGATGCTAGTTCCTTTTTGTTGTTTTCTTAATTACTAATTAACTTTTTCCTAAATGCTTTCGAAAGACAAACAGATAAATGTCCAAATTATTAGCTTTTTTCACAAAAACTCTGCCCTATCAGAAACAATATTTAAGAAAATTGTCCATTATATAGGACAGTTTTGACCATGTGTCAGGGTATACATAAGATATCTTTTGATTGTCCAAAGAAGGGCTAGGTAATAATTATATATACAAATTAGTAACTAAAATTTACCAGTGGAGATTAACATGCATGCAAATGCATATAAAGGATGATCTATCAAGTTCTGTGTTCCATGTTTTCTTCGTTCTTCCTTAGGTTGTCTGTATGAGAGGCACTGTAAAGAAAGCAAAGATCTACACTATCCGAAAACTGAAGAATCGTCTGAGGCTGCTGAAGGAGCGAAAGTAATCTATTTTCCTATTTGATGTTTTATTATTAAGTACCTGTATTCAGGAGATATCACAAGTGACGATTGTGAAAGAAACAGGTGCACTGGCCATGTTCACAGTAGCATTGATTTCAGAGACCAGCCATATCAATTAAGAGTTAAGATTCTTGCCTTTTGCAATTCAATAAGTGATTTTATTACATACTTACTAATAAATACGTTTTTTTTTGTATATATGCGATATGACACAATTGCTCTAATCCATATCAGCCCCCGCCGTATCACACCCCAAAACCTGTATCAGCGCGCAAAACCCATATCACAACCCTTTTGGGAAAAAAAATGTTTTTCAATATTTCAAAAATAAAAATAAATCAGAAGCTAGTAGTTTTTATTAGTAAGTATGTAATAAACAGAATAAAACACACCTTTTTCCATATCACACCCAGTATCAACCCTCGACCAATATCAGCCCTTGGGCTGATATTGCAGTCTCGGGTTGATACTGGGTGTGATTTGGAAAAAGGCATGTATTATTCTCTATATAATTTGCATGATTATATTGGTAATTGCACCACACAAATAAAATATCAAGCATGCATCATATCAATAAAAATTGAAAGTATTAGTTCTGATCATGAACAGCCAATGGTTCATACTTCAATGGCTTTTCAATCCAAACCTAAACTTGGAGCCAATATACATATGGTAAGGGAGAGGTACATTGTATCCCATCAGTTACAAACAGATCCTCCCAATTTGTTAACCCAAATACTTTTGTTTGTTACATAAACAGAGGTAACTCTGAAGAACTTGCCAAAGACCAAAGAAGATTGAAACGGTTTAGAGAGGAAATTCATGTAATAAGGGTGAGTAATAATCTGTATGTAATAAGGGTAAATAATATGCTTCATGTACTGGTAAAAGGGCTGAATTTTAGGCTGCATGTAATGAGGGTGAGATAAGGTTTATGTAATAGGGGTGAGTTATAAGCTTATGTCATAAGCTAAACAACTTACCGGTACTTTAATACTGTGCTTTTGGTTATCAAAACAACTGTATACCCACACTATTTCTCTTGTTGGATATTGGTGAACATCTCTCTGTTGTAAAAATGATTTGCCTTCCTAGCTACTAATTACTCTATATTTCCTAGCTTTTACCAGAAATACAGGTTTTAGTTTGTTTGATGTTATTTTTTTTTTGTCACGTTCAAAATTTGCATATTTTAATTTGTAAAGTTAACAATAACTTGGATGCTATCTTTGATGTCATAAAGTGAGGTAGCCATTCGCCTCAAACTGTTTGAATTTTGCCAGTAACAATGTTTAACTCACTTTTTCCCAAACTTTGGTGTATTTTGCAGCATCTGAAAAAGGACATCATATCAAAATATGCACTGGGCTGTACAGACACTGTTCATGGTCTCTGCAACAATGAGGTAAATAAATGTAAATCTTAATTTGGCTTATTTACGTTAATACGTTTAAGGTACTACCTACTAATATATAATTACTACTGTTAGCTTTGTGTCTGTTATCCATCTGGCTTGTCCCTTGTCAGGCCGTTTGTCATCAACTTTATTTGAAACCACTTCTTCCAAAGGACTTCAGGGTCTAGAGTTATGATATTTGGTTTGTATTTTGTAGTGTTTGAGATTTCTACGAGAGAAAGACCCTAATCTACCTTAAAAGTCACAGAGATGTGATGTGTATATTAGGTCATCTATATGGGTCAGATATGTTAAATACTTAAAATAACTTTTAGAAAACCATTTAGCCTAAATTTCTGATGATTGACATATTTATTGGTTGCTTGTTGGGAAAATGGATTGTCAAGTGTTTTAATGAATGACCACAAAGGACTTCTTTTACAGAACTATCAGGCATAGGATCATGTGCTTTGTAGCATCCTCAGATTGAGTGCTAAGCTATCAAGTGTGATAATTTGAATGACCTTAACCCACTTAAGAAAGGTCATATGTGTTACTTTAAAAAACAGCTGTGAAAAATCAGGTGTGTAGGCCTCTTGTTTTTTGCAGTATCATAATTAATAGAAGTAGACTGCATTACTATTAGATTGACTTTTTGTTCATGTTTAGTTGAACATGGCACATTTGTTGCTCTAATGTCATGATCAGTAGCTGTATAAATGGTAGTGCTGGGAATCGGGAGAGAAATCATAATCAATTATCAGAAGACCTTTCATGAAAGAATATCGATTATATTTCGAATAGACCAACTTTGGCAATTACTGTTGGAGTATATAGTTTAGTGTTGGGATTTGCAATGTAACTTAAAAAAGTAAATCAAGCATTTTCCCAATAGAGTCCATTCTTAGGTCACCTGAGACAAAGTCTCAAGTGACCTATTGTGATCGTCTTTTTGTCCGGCGTGCGTCCGTACACAGTTTACATTTTCAACTTCTTCTCCAAAACCCCTGAACCAATTTCAATGAAATTTTTGCAGAAACCTTCCATGGCCAAAGGTTAACAAAAATAGTGGCTGGTTTGGTCAAATTTGGTCAAATTTCAAAAATATTCTTTTCAAGACCCAGCTATGGTAGAATCAATTACTCTTTATAGATGGAAGGGTCTCAAGGTGCTTTACCAAAGTTGTGAATTTCTTGACTCTGGGGTCTCACATTTACCCCTGGGGAGGGGGTAAACTTTACTATAGTTTATATAGGGAAATCACATTTTGGACCTACATTTGTTTAATTTCCATTAGAATTAATTCAATTTGGGTTAGCATTATCAGTATTGGATAGCAGTGTAATGGTATGCACATATCAGCCCTGACTGACACCCCGGAGCTGATGGGTGGTGCCAAAAAGGGTTGAATTGACTGAAATTTCAAAAATCTTCTTCTCAAAGACCCAGATATGGTAGAATCAAACACTCTTCATAGATGGAAGGGTCTTAAGGTTTATGACCCTAGGGTCTCACGTTTACCCCCTGGGAAAGGAGGGGGGGGCGGCAAAATCAACTCTCTGTATAAATATATCAGGTGACCGTTAAGGCCCATGGGCCTCTTGTTATATACTTCATTCTTCTGGTTTAAAACTTATCAGAAATTCTTTAAGTGTAAATCTATCATGTGCCTCATAACCATTTGCAAAGTAACATTTTAGGTGGATACAGAAAAATTGACAGAAATTAACATGAAATTATTTCAACTGCTTAATTGATTTTGGAATTTTACAGTCAATCAATTGGAATCTGTTGTATAATCGACTGCTCTTTGATCATTGTCAATAGTCAGAACAACACTAATAAATGGACATCAATATTTTCATGAAATTCAAAGTTTCAATTAAAAAACTGTTCAGATTTCCATGTATTTACAAATATTGTATCTAGAATCAATTTGGTGTATATTTCTAAAGTAGTTGGTCATTGATTAAATGCTTTCAAGCCTTGTTTTGAGGGTGCAGGATATTTCAGATTTTTAGGATACATTCTTATATACAAATGTATCTCCCTAACATAAGAGTTTTTGAACTGAGAATGCTGTAAAATATCTCAGGTAAATGGTAATCAATGTGACTTTGATTAATTGACATTTATAGTAAAATTATAATCACAACATAATCAAGTGTCCCCAATTGAGTTTTTGTCATGAAGTGGAAGCAAGACTTAGGTGTTGCTTTTATCGGCGATGGCGCCATCAACTTAAAGTTTTTGCGTTTAAGATAGTTTCTCTGAAAGTATAAGTGATACACCAACCAAACTTGGACAACAGATGCATCTTCGGTATTACATCTCAACAAGTTGCATCAAATGCTGGATGCGACCTACCTTTCATGGTCCATTGACTTTGTCAGCATCTACATCAACATTAAGATTTTGCGATTAAGTTAGGGTCTCTGATATGTGCATTGATGGTCAAAGCAGGGCATAGGCGAGACATATCAATCTGAATGGCTTGTTCAGTTTATTTGGTCGACTAGTTTCGCCTCTAAAGGTGAGGCTTCATCAGGACAATTTTACAATGTTAGACACGTAAAGTACTCTTAGGGAGGATATCTTTTATATTGCAATGTAATGGACAATGAGCTTTGGTCAGGGGCAGATAATCAATGGTTAACAATAATTGATTAATTGAGACACATTTATCTTAAAGGTACACAACAATATAGTTTTAAATTTGAAAGGCGATAACTTTAACACGAATTGCAGATATAATGTATAAGGTATCACTTAGAATATAGCCTTAAATTAAAAATGATGGGTTGAAGTAGTAAGTGTCCCACAGATTAATAGGAATTCTAAAAATCTTTCCATGGTATGTCATTTTATGAAGTATGTGTTTTTCTTTTGACCTTTCCTTCAGAATGATGTGGCTATCGAGATCAGAGCTTTGACGCGACTCGCAGAACACAAATTGATGCAGATGTCAATCAAAAAGTTCCGAGATGAGCACGAGGACTGGAAGTCTCTGGCGGCTTTCCTACTTACAAAACAGTCTGGACGCAGGTTTAAAAAAAATCAGGGACCAACACCCATTGAAAAAATGATTACAAATGTGAAAACAGGTCAACTTATGGTAAAAACATACCTTCAGGATAAACTGGAAAGGAATGTGGATATTCCAAAGGACAAAAACATCAGAAAGAAGAAAAACTCTGTGGAGGAGGACACCATGTCGGGCAGTGAATCTGACAACTCAAACAGCAATATTGTGGATGCAGCATCTGTAGTTACTGATCATAACATTAAGAGTTCTAAAACCCCTAGAAAGAGCCCCTTAAAATCGAAGTCTACTGAAGCAAAATTCAAAGAATCTTCCTTAAACGTCAAAATGAAAAAGGCTGCATCTAAGAAAATAGAAGTGGTAAATTTCAATTCAAAAGAACTTGATGACTCCGAGTGTGTTCCTAATCTAATGGACGACTCTCAGAAACAAAGAGACTTGGTAGCCCAGTTGAGGGGTATCAGTGACGAGGAGAGTAATTCCGAATCTGAAATGGAGGATAGTGAGGAGGACACCAGTGAACAGGAAGGAGAAGGTAGTGATGAACCAGGTAGTAGTGGAGTGATATCGCCAAGGAAACAAAACATGGGAAAAGTCTGTGGTGAAATGGTGGTAAAAAAATTAGACTTGGATGATGATGTTGTTGATGAAAGTTTCATGACAGGACAAAAGGTTGAAATATTTAGTGATGAAAAATCATTAACAAAAAAATCAAAACGCAAAAAGGCTTCAGATTCATTCTTTGTTAGGAGTGAATCTTCTGATGAGGATGAGGGAACAGAAAGTGAAGAGGATGAAGAGAATGACGATGAAGAATCCAATAATTTCAGTAATGAATTGGATGAACCACTTGGAAATCCAGCTTCAAAAGGGAAAACAGCATTACGATCCACTTTCATGTTTGCTTTAAGCGACTCTAAAAACAAATCTAAAAGTTATGGTGGACGTGGCAAAAAATGGGAGGGGCCAGATAGGGGTGGAAGGTCAGGGGGAAGGGACGAGAGTGGGGGGTACAAAGGAGGGGGCAAGGTGCTACATGGAAATTACCGAGGAGGGATGAGGGGCAGTTATGATGACAGAAATACAGGCCATGGAAACTTTGACAGGAGCCAAGGAAGGGGAGGATTTGATGGATATAAGGAGCGTGGCAATTTTGATGGAAATAGGGGACGTGGCAGTTTTGATGGAAATAGGGGGCGTGGCAGTTTTGATGGAAATAGGGGATATGGAAAGTTTGCTGGTGGTAGAGGACAGAACTTTGACAGACAAGGAGGACATGACTGGAAATCTGACCAAAAAGGGTAAGCTATGTACAATATAAGCTGATCTACAGATAATTGTAACCCAAGAAATCATACTGTATTGATTGAAAATGTGTACAACATGAATGTTTTTCATACAAACGCTAGTTTAAAGTTTTAAGTACTGTCAGGACTATCTGGAACAATGCTAAGACTGAATGTATGAGCGCCCAGATATATAAGTAATAAGTCACTTGATTGTTGGTTACCAGGGCTGTTTATTCCACATGGCATGTGCTTTAAGTTACTATCTGTAATGAACTTAGAACAATACACTTTGAATAAAATTTATGATATAAATACCCTTTTTGCAGATTTTCCTCAAAGTATGACGCATCACAGAGTGTACCAGATAAATCAGCGGGTAAGTGTAAATTGACATCACATCTTAGATGCTGTAAATTGATGGAATTCATGAATTTTTTGTGCAATGATAAATCGAAGTGATCACCTGTACAGGTATCAGTAATCTTGGCAATGTTGGGTTTGTAAGGCTTAAAAAATTGTGTTTCTAGTTTCACTCTAAAAATTTAGGTTGATAGACAGGAGAATACTTCAAATATATTTTTATATTGGTTATATAGAATTAGGATTTTGACTTCAATAGTATTTGTTAAGAATTATCCTAGGGCGAGATGTCCAAAAATATAGGGTCAGTAGGAAAAACAGAAACATCAGCCTATAAAGTAAATGTACATCGGCAGTAAAACGTAATGATAACAATGCTTATCCTGTTAATTGTTCAGTCATATTGGAATTGTGTTCCCTCACACAAGGAAAGGTTTTGTCAATATCAACAGGTTTTGACTATAGGCTAGAAAAGTTAGTACTGTACTAACATAGGGGACTAGGTTTGCACTTCATCTTTCAGCTAGTCAGTAAATCTAATTGTCAGGGGCATATCTCATATATGTTGGCATATACATGGTCGAGTGTCGCATACTACAAAATTTAATTAATTGTGTCTCTGTTCTAGCTATGAGAGAGTCATTACACACTCCTTTTTTCACCATGCATTTTTTGTCCAGGGCATATCTCATCTCTTAACCACAGAGATTAGAAATTTAATTTATTTCTTCTTATCAGATAACATTATCAATCATATTCTATATTAATAACTTTGAAATTAGAGTTACCGTACTTGATAACAATGTAACGTCACATGTACAAGGTACCACTTTGAGGGTACCTTAGGGGCCGAACATTTGTTGTATATTTGCCCTGACGAGCCGTAACTGGCGAAACTGGTCGGCATGTAAAAGTATTCCACCTACTTCGCTTGTGAAGCTGGTTAATGTTGAGAACAAGACCTACCTACGATGTACCATTTCTAAATTTTGCTCAAGTACTTGCATCTTTTTGGATGGCAGAGTTTGACTGTATCTCTTTGGATGGCAGAGTTTGACTGTATCTCTGGATGGCAGAGTTTGACTGTATCTTTTTGGATGGCAGAGTTTGACTGTATCTCTGGATGGTAGAGTTTGACTGTATCTCTGGATGGCAGAGTTTGACTGTATCTCTGGATGGCAGAGTTTGACTGTATCTTTTTGGTTGGCAGAGTTTGACTGTATCTTTTTGGTTGGCAGAGTTTGACTGCTCACCTACTGAATTGGTTTCTCCTACTTCACTGTGCTAGCAAAGTTTCAAATTTGACATAGTTCATTTGTACTTTACAGTGGTACTTAACTTTATAGACACCCAACTACAAGAACATCATTCATATCAAACATAATTGACCACAAAAGACTGTTCCTTGTCTTTCCATCCAACTCTGTAGACAGTCTTATCTAATCAAATGATATTTTAACCCGAATTACTGATAGCAAGTCTGGTTTCCCTGTACTCGTTAAGGTCATTTCAATATGTATTTCCATCTTTTGCATACAATCAGATGTGGGCCAAATTCATCCATCATGGCAGGCCAGTAAGAAACGAAAGGAGCAAAGTGGAATCCAGTCTTTCCAGGGCAAGAAAATTAAATTTGATGACTGAAGACCAGTGCTGACGGGATATACCTGAAAGGAATACTGTAACATTTGCAAAGAATTTCATCGCATACAATCATGTTGATTTACATCTAATAATGTTTAACTTTTTAATTTTGTCATTTTCATCTGTAGAATGCTGTTACTGTTATGTCTAGTTTCTTGTGATAAGAAAAATCATTGTCCATCCTTTGGTTTTTGTATATTTTAATGACAAGGTAGAATAAATCTTGTACATGAATGTTTCGAGTTAATTTGAGTTTTTGTCTCGCAAATGTAGATGCGGGGCGTTAAGTGTTGTCATTTCTATTGTCGGCAATCTGCACAACATTTTGTATAGATTTTGAGTTCATCTGTATTACTGAGAAGCCCTACAGTCATCAAACTTCTTATCTGGTACAACTTGAGTACTGCACCAATATATACCATGTAGGTCAGTGACCTATATTTTCCGTGTCAGTGTCTTTAACTGGTCCTTGCATTTAGCTCCATTACTATATATACTAATAGTCATCAAACTGTATATAAAGATAAAATTTATATCTGGTACAATTTGAGTACTGAACTGCACCAATATATATATATGTAGGTCAGTGACCTATATTTTCAGTTTCAGTTTTTGATTAATATTATAGTTCATTCATATACAATGTACTAAATGTCTAATATTCATCTAAGTATATATATAGATACATCTTGAGGAGTACAACACAAATATAACAATTGTAGATCACTGTGACCTACATTTAGGACGCACTTCGGTTAAATTTCGCATCAAGTCTATGTGGAAAACTTTATAAAGAAATAAATACATGTACAAATTGAACAAAAGATAAGTAAGAAATATTTAATTGGACCAACTCATTTAATTGAAGTCATGTTTAATAAAATGGTGTCCACAACATATTATCCTAGAATTGGAATGTGCTCTTAATCAATTGATATATTGCAACACTGGACTATGGCAGGCAGTGGCTTACTCTTGGTCTCTACACAAATGAACAATTTCTGGTATATATATGATGTTTAAATTGATAACTGTTATTCAAGGATCCTACAGATTGTATATTGTAGGAGTATTTGATACATTATACATGCTGTACAATAATTTTGCAACAAACTTCTTCCAGCAGCATGTTAACGGTTGAGCATCCTGAATTCAACCACCAGGAAGTCGTAACAATATTTCTTGGAACAAATTTCTCTTTTCTATTCATCGTTATTCCAGTAATCCATTCATTTTATTCAAACAATTCAACTTTTTAAATGAAGATGGCTGGATATGTGAGGTTCCACTGAACCAGTGTTCTTTGTATTGCACAAATCAAGGGAGATTACTCTCGCCTCAGTTTACCACACCAGTAGTCTGATCATCTGTACACTACACTGTTTGTACACTTCCGTATATCAATGATTGGTTTACAAGTATGACTCATATCTGAATCATTACAAACATAAAATGATCAATAAATATGGCATCAGACTAGTTTGCTTGAACAGTACATGTCTGACATCATTCTGTGCTGACCTTCCGTCACCATTAACGCGTGAACAGTAAATGTCTGACATCATTCACTGCTGTCCTTCTGTCGCCATTAATGCTTTAACAGTAAATGTCCGACATCATTCTCTGCTGTCCTTACGTCACCATTAACGCGTGAACAGTAAATGTCTGACATCATTCTGTGCTGTCCTTCCGTCACCATTAATGCTTGAACAGTAAATGTCTGGTATCATTCACTGCTGTCCTTCTGTCGCCATTAATGCTTTAATAGTTCATATCTGATCTCATTCTCTGCTGTCCTTCCGTCACCATTAACGCGTGAACAGTAAATGTCTGACATCATTCACTGCTGTTGACAGTCTCCAATGATCATGTTAAAAACAAATTGGAAGTTTGTACCAATTGTTCCATACAAATTGAAACCAGGTATCCAGGTCCTTATATGGATAGGGGCTTGTCTAGCATTAGATATCTGTTCAGTATCCAAGCCAAGTTCCAACCTTAAAATGACCAGTCCTGAATGCGAGATCACCAGGGAGTTGCGTTACATCCCTTATTAAACCCCCAGATGTGTATACATGCCTCCTTATTTCCTCCAGTACTGTAAAGGAAATGTTAATACATGTATAGTCAAAATTTTCATTATGAACATGTTGAGATGAATTAATTTAGATCTTGAGTACATAATGTATCAATTTTCTAGTTCAGCTTCGGGCAGAAACCATTTTGCGCTTTAGTTTATCATCGGATAGATCTTGGATGTTGATTGGAAAAGACAGTAATGCTCCTTACAATAGTGCAATAGACAAGCGGACTGAAAACAGTAGTTCTATGATGAACACAGTATTCTGGCCAAGAAATGATATTCTGGTCAAGTTATGAGAGGACAAGTCCAGTTCCCAGGAGTCATGGTTACTGAGTAAACGTTGGTGTAGACTGTAAATATATAGCACTGACCTGAGCCATTTTATGGAGCTGTTCTACGATGGCAGCCATCATGGCCGACACACTGACATCTATCACGGTTTGCATATAATGGACAGCTTCTTCATCTGTCAGATGTAACACAAACTTGTCTTGTACCTAAAACACAAAATAAATGTTATTTACAACAAAATCAGTTTATGGAAAATATATAAGGATGATAACCATGTACCAAGTATTTGTAATTTCACAGATTAAAACAAATGCATTGTACACAAGACTTAAGCTCTTAAACTGTACTCAAAAGGTTTGTCATCTAGGCCTTAGAATTGATTCATAACCAGTGTCCAAAAATATTATTATCTGGAGGCCTTAGGTATATGGCAGAGTAACAGTCTGGGATTTAAACCTGGAAATACTTCACCTTTAGGAGGCTCTGCCAAATGAGCTATGGCCATGGCGATCAATCCCGCTAAGATTGGTCCACTCTTTTCTATATGCAAGTCTTTAAACCTGAAGATATCACTATTCACCAACATGCTAGGTTCTAGCAATAGCACACCTATTCCATGCACACAAAGCACTTGTAACAAGGTTTGGTAATGGATACTACCAATTTGTTACAGAATAAAAAAGTCCTATTGTTCATGAAGCTATTTTCATGCTCAGACTCAGATTCTGTGCTCGAGCCAAATTCATTGTTTCTGTGATCAATTATTCTAATTTCATTTCTTTTCAATGATAATGAGGAGTTCAAACTTAAGCCAAACACTGTTTTTGATGTCTAGATTGTAATTTGTTTACTTTGTCAAAGGATTTTAGTGAGTTGCAGGCTAGTTGGTTTGAACACAGAATTTGTGCTTGTGCAAGAAAATTGTTTCATTAATCCAAATATGGCACCTCGGAACCATTAAGTCAAGAGAGATGCTGTACCAATAATTGAAATAACTGGTTACCAGTGATTAAGCCCAGTCCGACACTGCACACACATGGACCAAGAACAGGCTCAGGGTATGTATGTCATATAACAGATTATACAAAGCTATGTCTATGGTTACATCCTTTAGTTATCAATTGTGAAAAGCACAGTTTTGCCTGATAAATTCAACACAAAGTGGGTTACCTATAAATACTACTACCGGTATATAGATTAATATAGGTTGTAGAATTTGGTCAGAACTGATCGTAAGGTTCTGAGCCTAAATTTTACACCCAAGGTAGAATGAGCCTAAATTTTACACCCAAGGTAGAATTTCCCTAGCACTCATTATGGGAATTATGTAAACAGTGACAAAAACACAGAAATGCCAATTAGCTATATAGATTTAGCCATTAATGGACAGGTAGTTAGATTTAAAATGAGGACAAATACAACAATGTATTTATTTTAAAACGTTTTAAATGGCAAAAAAGTACAAGTAGAGACCTTTTTGACGGTTTTGTCTGGCTCCAATGCTATGTCTGGAATGTTGGCATCCACCATCAGAGAAAATAAATTCAAAATAAGATTTGCCGACCTGAAAATAAACGTTGTGAATCTAAATTAAGTGGAGTAAACTTGAAAGATGAAAAATAGGAGCCGTATAAAATAAACCACAAAAATTTGTTTAAACTTTCATCTTCAATATTTTAGCAAGTTTCCATACCTGCAAATATACATATCTTTTACTCTTGAAAATCTATTGTGAATTTTTTTCGAACAATCATGGTTTGAATGGATATACTTTCTATTTTATTAACCAAGCATTTTACCTTCAGTGTATTCCGTAATAAACAATATTTCTATAAGGCCTGAGTAGTAAATATGGGGAATTTCTTGAACAATAATATGGTTATCCTTACCTTCTTATGGCCAAGAAAGAAGTGTAGCAGAGTTTTTTGAATTCATGAAAATGTTCAGAGGATGTTCCTCCCATAGCCTCGACCATTTCTTTACTCAGCCTCATAGGGGAAGGCATCGGCTTAGGGTCACGACCTAGGATGTACCCGAAGTCTATGTGGAACAGCTTCCCTGTTCAGAAAAACACATACACATTAATATTGAACTTAAAATTAACTTCAATTTCATATTCTAATATTTCGAAACAAATCCAGAAGGTTTCCATTTCAGTGAGCTTGAGACTTTTAGTGATGAACCAACACACAAGGTGTCAAACTCTATTCAACAGGGCTTGTGTTGTTGGTGGACATCAGTGCCAATGGCGAAATTAAAATGTGATTGCCAATTTGAAATTGGTTTTGGCAAAAATGCAAATGAGTGACTTTTATTTATGTTACTGCCAACACTAGAGAAAACTTTGGCGATAACTGTTTCTAAAGCAATTGAATTTTACCAAAATTTGATCAGACCCTAAAATAAAGCCCTGTTCCTGCAAATTGAAACATATTACAGATTAGTGACATGTTGATATGATACTTACCTGTTTTAGTTAGCATCAAGTTGTCAAGGTGACGATCTCCCACACCCAACACGTAAGTAATTACAGAGTATCCAGCTAAAGGGGGGAAAACAGCCTCATTTAGTCATTATCAACTCTGATAAAGGTACATAAAGGACTCCATTAACCTCAATGTCGTTTTATTGTGTAAGTATCACTATTTTCTGAATTTTATATAATTAAGGATTAATTAAGGCTGACTGAGTTAGAGTTACCCCCCCCCCCCCCCCCCCCCCCACCAAAA